CTTGAAGAATAAAATTTTATTAACAGATATCAACTACTGCAGCTTAACATTTATCTAAAAATAATTTTCATTACAAAGTAATAAACTTTCTCGTTTATGATTTTCACGTTCTTTTTTATCCCGATCAGCATGTGTCATGAAGTTGAGACAATTAAAAAAAATCTTGCCATTATTTCTCAAACACTTCAACTACTACTTTCAAGCAGACTTAGATCTATACATAAAACGTAGTTTTAAAAAAGAAATAATACTTTCAAGTTGGTCATATTTAAAGTAGTTGAAAACCATTTGTTAGAAATTCAAATAAAAGCATTCTTCTATATTAACATTTGTATCTAACTTCAGCCACGTTGTCAGGAAATTCTTCTTTGGAAAGTTAAGAACATTTTATCCTAATGAAGAGCCCTACATTTCCCAAAAATCTTACACGAACCATAAAACCAACGTGAAGACACCTTCACATTTCAGACTTTCGCGTGTGAAATTCAGACATGAGAAGAAACAGTCTTTGTTAGCAAGAGGATTCTGCCTGTTCAAAAATTTTTAAAAAACAGAATAGAACCTTGTCTTTTGGGGTTATACTAATCCTAATTCCTTAATTAGTATGCCAAATAAGCCATTTCTCCCCACTGGTAATTGATAATGGGAAAGTTCAAAGTTAGAAATACAGAAAGTATCTGTTTATATTAAAAATAATTGCAGTGTTCAGTTTAAATTATGGATTCAAATTCTCACTGTGATTTATTGAGACCACTACTTGACATTTTCCATTAAGAATGCTATTAATGACCCTAATTTGCTTATATTTTGAAATTAGCCTAGTTAAAATTATGATCCTATTTCTTTATAAATGTTTTTCACGGAGAATAAATTGTATAATAACTTAATATTCAAAATAGTTTCCCTAAAGTTATGCTTCACAAATACATGCATTTTAATTTCAACTTTTTGACTCAACAAGAACTGAGTACAGCTTTCTACAGATGTCTATATTTTAGGGTGTCTAGAAATCTATGGAAGAGACTAACCATGGTAGTAGCAGTAGCTGTGATGAGCAGATTCTGGTATAGGTTTTACATGATGTATACACTGGTAACATGTCCACAGGGCACTGTGTAAGGCAGGATGGCAGAATTGTAGCGTTAGGGCCTCAGGGGTAGGTTTTTGCACTGTGAAATCAGTGTCAAAAGGTAAGCCATCTTGTAACCTTTCCATTTGTCCTACAGATGTGCGGTAAGCTCACACAGTAGCATTTCAGAGAAAACCAAGTAGGGCCTCGATAATTATTTCAAAGTTAGCAATAAAACAGTATTCTAAAATGACCCTGAAGGGGGAGTGCTCAGTTCACTAAAAGAACATGTGGTAGGCTCAGCCTTCTGCTAAATCACCTATACTGAAAGATGGGATCCTCACAATACAACTTTAAGTCTGGTTCTTCATTATTGTTCATGACACTAGGTCCACATCTAACATTTCCTCTTAAGCCACTGAACAGTGGCAATGATTTTAGTATTGTCATGTCCATTGTTAAGAAATAATGAATATCACTTCATCATTCTGAAAGCATTCTATAATAGGATGGTGTAAGAGTTTAGTTTTTCAAACAGCAGTTATTGTAAGATACAATTTTTCTTTACTAATTTTTAATATAGCCTTGATAATGCACTAGATTTCTATTATACTTGAATCTACTCTAGTTCGTTGATATATTTTTATTCACTTCTACATTATTTTTAAACAAAAAAATCTCATTTTAGTGTAGTTTTAGATTTAAAGAATATTGCAAAAGTAATACTGAGTTCCTACATAACCTACACCTATCTTCTCCTATTAGTAACATCTTACATTAGTATGGTACATTTGTTAAAATTAATGAATCAGTATTGATAAATTTTTACTAACTAATCACCACAATTTATTAAATTTTCCTTAGTTTTTACTTAGTGCCCTTTTTTGGTTTCAAGATCTCATCAAGATACCATATTACATGTATTCCTCATGCCTTCTTAGCTCCCTCTTGGTTGGGACAGTTTTCCAGGCTTTCCTTGTTTGTAATGACCTTGAAAGTTTTGATCCATCCTGGGCAGGTATTTGTGGAATACAAATACAAATACCCATTCCTTCATCGGGATGTGTCTGATGTTGTTCTCATGGGTTTATAGGTTGTTAGGATGAAGACCACAGAGGTAAAGTGCTATTTTTGATCACATCATATCAAGGGTAGATTCTATCAACATGATTTATCATTGTTGATCTTCACTTTGGTCACCTGGCTGAGGCAGTGTCTGTCAGTTTTCTCCACCATAAAGTTGTTTTCTCCCGTCCCTTTCTATCCTATTCTCCTAGAGAGGAAGTCACTATGAACATCCCCCACTTAAGGCACAGGGAGTCATGCTCCACCTCCTGTGGATACAGCATCTACATAAATTATTTGTAATTTTCTGCATGGGATATTTTACTGTACTCTCCTATGTATTTATTCATCAATCATTGCTAAAGCGTGGACTCATAAATATTCATTTATAATTTGGGTTATAATCCTTTGCTACTTTATCACTCAAATTGTTCCATCTTTGGCCATTGGGAACTCCTGTGTCCCTCAGACATACAGCAGCATTTTTGCGGTGCTTCCTTCCTTTCTGGCACTACAAGATGCTACAAGATGCTCTGGGCTCATCTTGTGTATTTCATGCCCCAGTTCTAGAATCTACCATTTTGCCAAGAAACACTGCTTCCTGTTACTAAAAACCAAGAAAGATCTGGATGCTAGATGTACTTGGGAGTTTTATTTTAAAATTCTAAATCTTTATGGTCTTTAAATAAAAATTTAAATGCTTTCGTTAAGGCAACCCAGTGGGGAGAATGTTTTGTTTGCACAGAGCCTTGTGTAATGATAAGGGGCTCTGTAGCACCTGGTCAGGAGTAGGGCACTGCTCTGTTATCACACTTACTGTCTGGAACACCCTGGTCCTCTGTTGTGCACAGACCAACAAAGTTCAACAAATCATACTTCAAAATTTCCAGATAGTATATAAACATAAGTACTGCTGAATTTCAATTATGTTTGTATGAGTTTCTGAATGAATAATATCAACATGTTATACAGACTGACATTTATAAACTAAGAACTTGAGATGATGGGACACAGAACTCAAATGTACTATTCAAATAATACACCTTTTCTATTAAAATAATACACCTTTTCTATTAAAATGCTCTTAAGTATCAGGATGCAAACCAGAGCTTTGCTTTCAATTGGGCCATTGGTATATATTCTGTGATCTATGAGGACAAGGACATTCAGGTGATACCGGGATAAATGAGGTAGAAAGGAGTCATAGAGAAGCAAAGATATTTAGACAAAATTTTAGGAATGTATATTTACTCTAACTTCCAAGAATATAGAAATTTGAAAAGGTATAATCTTGTATGCTTTATAATATTCTCAAGCCTAGTTTATTTTAAAACCAATAGAAAATTAAATGGAGAGTAGATTATAATGATGTAAATCAGGAAAGCCATCTGTATAAATACATAAAATTGCATTAAATGATTTTCTACTATAATATGGGATTCAAGATTGTAATCAGATGGAAAGGAGCAATATATTGAATGATTAAGTTATTAACTGAACATGAATTTTAGGTCAATATCTTTCCAAACACAAGATTTTCACACAAAGAAATATAACCAAATATCATTCTTTAACAAGTTAATAGGCTCCAGTATTTCCTATACATTCACAATATTGCTCACTACAATTTGAAAATGTAAAGTAATTGGAAAAATTAGAAATTTAAATGTTAAACATTACCTTTTAGTTTTTTTAAATACCAGTTTTAATATGAGACATTAAGAGCCCAGAGGAAAATAAAGTGGTTTACCAGTTTTAAGACAGTGGACAGGAAGGCAGAAAAATCATTAGATGATATTATATTACACCAGCAAGGTTGGGACAGGGTGTATTACAAAATGGGAATTTATATCAATTAACAGGCTTCTATGCAACTCCAAAATGTCGATTTTAAATGATGAAATGAGGTCAGATTGCAAGTGAAGAGAAATATGTCAGGACAGATGGATAAAGGCATGCAAGAAAAGAGGAACACTGAGATAAATTCCAGTGCAGTTTAGCCATACTAAGATAAGGTCGGTGAGAGGTGTGAGCAATTTCAGTTAGGCAAAGGGACATTATCAGTTTTAGAATAATATAACCTGGTATTAACGACATCCATAAACAAAGTATACAAAACTAGAAGGACCATTTTACTTTTTAAAAATACTGAATAAAATTTCTCCTAAAGACCTAATCATTAGTTTAAGTTCACATCTTGCAAACCCTTGGTACTTTCTGCTAACATCCATTATAAAACAAATGCACCAGTGCATTGAGCAAAATCTTTAAAAAGTGATAAGCCAACTAATATATTACACACCACAGGGATTCCGATATGAAAAATACTGCAAGTTCAAACTATAAACTGCCTTGTGTCTCAATAATGTCAGAGTGCTTTATGAACTGAGATGCTAAAATTCAATCTGAAATGTATTTACTCGCAGTACTGACAATCCATGAAAGCAACAAATAGCTCAAAGTTCTGTTTTGTGCTGTCTCAGGACTGGGGCTTTGCTCTGCCATGCTTTTGCACAGCACCCTGATTCCTGCCCTACCAAATGCCTAGAGACACACTGGGCAAGAACCAGAATATTGGTCATACACCCGAACAATACGTGCCAGGTATTGTTTACTTAATTCTCAAAACTTGAATGGAAACCCCAACAGGCAGACCACCTAGGAGCCAAATCCAGACACAGACATGTAACAACAGGCACCAAAACATCAGTGGAAATCAACATGTTGAGCTTCTGAATGAAGTCTTCTATAGCACATTCTCATTACAGGAGGCCATCCTGTTCAATAGTGTTTCTTAATCTGCCTGGGCCATTGTCTCATAAGCAGCTCAATTTCCTCAAGGGGTAGATGGCCAATAATAGCTTACCTGACTCACAGGCAAATGTCTTCGACGTTTCATCGTGAAAGATAATTGCCACTGCATGCTTCTTTGTCTCTCGGGGCAGTCTGGTTATATTTTTGATATTGTGCAGTTCAGTTACCTTGAAAGAAAAAATATTTTTAACTTAGTATATAGTATGTATGCTATATGTTGGAGTGCTGAAACAAAATAAGTTATCACAGTCTTACATGGATTTCCATTGAATATTTGTAATCATTTTAAATTGACTTTAGCCAAAAACAGTAAAGAACAAAACAAAATGTCTCCTATTATGCCCTTAACTTTGGTCACAGACTATATTATTTGCTGCATTTTGAAATGATCTACATATTATGTAGAAGGGTTCTATGGACTTTGCACTTTTATTAAAAGTATATACCTGGCAAATAATAGCAGTTGTGGTATACAGACGATTCTCATTAAATATCTGCGGAATATTGGTTGTATTTAATATCTCCCCTCTCTTAATTCTCACCCATCATACAAATGTCCTGTAGGCCTATGGTCCTGAGGTAACTGACACGTCTGTCAACAAAGTGACTGGAGAGCAAGTCCATTGCTCCAAAAGTTATATTTTAGAGCAACAGACTTGCTCTCCAGAAAAATGCTCATAGTGTTCACAGACCCATATACCACTTCTCCCACCAAAGCCCATCCAAGATTGATGCACGCAGGTTAACAACTCTTTATTTATTGGGCAATTAATAAATATCTACTAGCCTTATGTATTTTGGATGTTGACCCCTTATTGGTACAAGTTCTTCTGCTACAACTTGTGCATCTTTAATTTTCTCCAGTCAACAAACAAATGTATATTTCCTCAACAACTCTGCAAACACAACGTTGCAATAATATTCAATGAATTAATTTTTAAAAATCTACTTTTCAAGAGGTTGAATTTTTTTCTTCTCATTTATAAGATTTCTTATTTCTAGATCCATACTGTTAACAGAAAGAAGACAGGATTAACTAGCATAGTAAACAGCAAATTAATATCCTCTTTTATGACAACCTATGATATTATATCTATCATTATATGATATAATAAATTCATTACCTTTTGACTATGCTTTAATTTCTCTTCTCCAAATGTAGAATTTTCACAGGATATAACTAGCTTTTTCAAGGTTATTTTGCTGATTAATGTTTTTATAAACACAATAGTTAAACACATGCATATTTATATACATATTTGCATACTATAGTTATATAATCTAATATATAATACAAATATAATCAATATTTAAGTAATATTCCTTAGGATCTATTTTTCTAAGAAAATAATATTTTATTATCTCTAACATTAAATGTGGTTAGTACTTAGCAAGCATTTATACCTCTATTTAACATGACACTATGTAAACTAGACTAAGATCTCCAATAAAAACACATGAAAAAACTAAAAAAGGCAAGGAATCTATAATGTTTATGGAAATGAGCAAGTGGATATGTTGGAATGGAGACTACAGACAGTGGCTGAAAGTTACTTGTCGAGGAAAATCACCCAAGTCATCAGGTACTTTTTAAAGTTACAGTTGATGGTCTTTATTTGTGGTTTCTATATTTGTGAATTCACCTACTGCAAAAATGTATTTACAACCCCAAAATAAATATGCATGGCACATCTGTGGTCATTTGTAGACATGTGCATGTGCAGAGAGGTGAAAACTTTGAGTCTCCAGATGTGCACGCTTCCAGCTGAGGTTGAGCAGGTGATGCTGTGTCTTAATGTGTTCATGGTCATACTGTAGACACATGTTGTTTTCATGCTCTGCTTAGAGTCATGGCTGTTTCATTTTTGTGATTTTTCTTGTTGACTTCACTTTTAAAAATGGCTCCCCAAGTGCAGTGCTAGCTGTCTAGTGTTCCTAAATTAAAGAGGACTGTGATACCCCTTATGGAGAAAACACATGTGTTAGATAAGCTTTATTCAGCATGAGTTACAGTGCTGTTTGCCCTAAGTTCATTGTTAGTAATCAGATATCTTTAAAGAGCAACAATAAAACAAGGTAATATAATGATCAGTTAACAAAAGTGTTGTGATTAGAGGTCATTAATTCATTCGTGGTTTGCAACTCAATGTTTGCAGAGGTTTTATAGTCCATAACTACAATGAATTATGAAAATCAACTATATGCCTTAGAGATTGTTTTAGGGTTTACCATAAATATTTTAACATATCAGAATTAGCTTTAGATTGATATTAATTTTGTGCCAGTGAAATATACAAATCTCATATCTACATAGCTTTTCCCTTATTGAGATATTATTTTTATACATATTACATCTATTAATATAAATGTTACAAACCCAACATTACATTTATAATTTTAGTTTATATAATTATCTTTTAAAGAAGCTGAGAGAAGAAAGGAGACCAAGTGTATATATATTACTTTTTTACATTAACATTTTCTTTATCATTTCTGGATCTTTTGTTCCTATTGACTTGAATTACTATCTGAAGTCATTTCCATAGTCCAATACAGCTTTGCTCCCACACCTCCTTTGTATTACTATTGGTAAATATATTAGAACTCTATATGTTATAGGCCTAAAAGTACATTATATACACATTGTTTTATGTAATTGCCTTTTAAGTCAGTTCAGAGGGAAAAAATATGCATTTATATTGTCTTTTATAATTACCATACTGATACTGTTTTTTGATATGGTTGGGCTGGGATCACTTAATATTTCTTGTAAGGCACATCTGTGAGTTTTAGTCTGTCTCACGATACCTTTATTTCATCTTATTTTTTGAAGAATACAAGATTCTTTGTGGATGTGTTTTGTTTTGTTTTTTTCTTTTTTCCCTTTAAGCACTTTGAATATACTTTCCACTGTCGTCCAGTCTACAATGTTTTTAGTGAGAAGTCAGATGTTAATCTTATCGGGGTTCCTTTGTAAGTGAAGAGCAGTTTTTCTTTTGCTGCTTTCAAGATACTCCATCAGTCTTTATCTTTCAGTATTTTTACTATGACATGCCTGATCATATATCACTTTGCATTTATCCTACCTTGAGTTAATTGAGCTTCTGGATGTGGAATGACAGTGGTTTAATCAGGACTCCCTTTCACTCTTTCTTTCCATGACCACACCCAATTATTTAGCTCCACTACTTGCAGGCCGATGTCTTTATTTATTAAAAAAATATCCTGTGGGCATATATCACTTCACATATTGGGCCAATCCAATTTGGGATCTTTTAAAGTAATAGTTCCTGAGGTCATTGTTTGACATTGGTGCTAAATCCAGATGGGCTCCTCCCAGCTGTCTATGTTCCAGGTCCTGTCCAGCAAACTTGCTGACCTACAGTTTAGCTTGTATCTCTCATATACCTATCATTTTCTCCCAATTGCTTTTTATCATAACCTCTATGCTTTTGTATCGTGTCCTTATGCTTAAACTTTTCCACACCCTGTTGAAAATGAAGTCAGGTGTTTTTGGAAAGAGACTGAGAACTCTGTCTTGTGGTCAGCTTTACTCATCTAGGGCAAAAATTGCTAAGTCTTGTGTCTTAGGGTTCTCTGGAGAAACAGAATCAGTAGTAGGGGTCTTCAAAAGGTTCATAGAAAATACATATGAAAAAATATGCATGGATTAAAAATTTTTTATACCAAAATAAATTAATAATCTCATAACTCATAAATTCACATAAACTCATCAACTCTTGTTATAACATATCTAAGTAGACTCTAGTTTGAGGCACTAAGAAGGCTAAGACATCAGTTTGAAAAGGACTCTTAGCAACATGAATTCTGCTAAAATGGAAGCAAAGACAAACATCAAACTTAGGGTAAAGCTTGAGTGGAAGAATGATGAAATTATTGATGCTTCACAAAAAGTTTATGGGAACCAATGTCCAAAGAAATCAGCAGCTTACAAATAAATAAGTCAATTGAAGAAGAGACAAGATGATGTTGAAGATGAAGCCCTCAGTAGCAGATCATCCACATCAATTTTTGAGGGAAAAATATCATCTTGTTCTGGCCTTAATTAAGAAAGACCAACAATTAATGGCAGAAACAATAGCCGAAACCACAGACATCTCAATTGGTTCAGCTTATCCAAGTCTGACAGAAAAAGTAAAGTTGAACAAATTTTCCACTCAATGGATGCCAAAACTGTTGTGCTTAGATTAGCTGCACAATTGTTTTTCTAATTCTGTGAAAAATGACATTGATAATTTGATAGGGATTGCATTGAACCTGTAGATTGCTCTGGGTAGTATGGTCATTTTAACAATTAAGTTTTCCAATCCGTTAACATGTTGTGGCTTTGCATTTGCTCAATTCTTTCATCAGTGTTTTGCTGTTTTCCTTGTAGAGGTCTTTCACCTCCTTGGTTAAATTTGTTCCTAGATATTTTATTTTTTGAGATATTGTAAATGAGATCACCTTCTTGATCTCTTTTTTAATGGTTCATTATTGGTTTGTAGAAATGCCACTTCTTTTTGTATGTTGATTTTGTATCCTGCAACTTTACTGAATTTATCAAATCTAAATCCACTTTGGTAGAGTCTTTAGGTTTTTCTTTTTCTATATATATATATATATATTTAACATGTAAGAGACAGAGTATCACTATATTAGCCAGGTTGTTCTTGAACTCCTGGCATCAAGTGATCCTCCTGCCTCGACCTCCCAAAGTGCTAGGATTGCAGGTGTGATCCACTGTGTGAGGCCAAAATATACATTTTTCAGAATATAAGATCATCTCATCTGCAAAGAGGGACAATTTGACTTCTTTTCCAATCTGGATGCCTTTTATTTCTTTTCTTTTCTTTTCCTTTTTTTTTTCCTGTTTGCTCTGGCTAGGACTTCTACTGCTATGTAGAATAAGAGGGGTGAAAGTAAAACCTACTTTCACCTTTTGGTTTGTATCAGTTATGAGAGGAAAGGCTTTAGGTTAGAAATTAATATATCTGTTATTTATATTTGTTTTCTCCCTACTTGTAATTATCTCATTTAAAATTATCTTAAAAAATTAAAATGTGTAATATGGGTTATTTTAAGTAAAATAAACGTAGGTTTGCTTATATATATGAATACATATATTTGTATATGCAGGTATCTGTATGTGTATGTGTGTACATGT